CGTAGAAATAACGAAGCAGGAGGAAATAAGAAGTAAACGCACCGAGCAGCCTTGCAAAATCTGGTCACAGCAGTTTGGGAAAAAAATGGCAGCAGCTGCTGATGAAATGTCAACATCCCTACATTAAAATGTTGATAAACTTAAGCATAACTACAGATGAATTTATAGGATGCAAGATTTGTTTATCACTTTCTTGCAAACGGGTAAAATGTAAATAAGATAATACATCACATGTCAAATGGATTGGGCTATTGAAATCTTTTATGTTTAATAAACATGAACCCATTTTGTTTCAAAACCTGAAATTGTTGGCCTGCAGACTGCTGCTGTGTGAAGTATACAAAGTTCACATAAACAAAGGTGAAATGAATGCAAAAATACACAATTAGAAGCCATTTACGACAACTTTTTATTGTTTGTAACAATATAAAATCAAGTCAGTTTTATTCAAACAACAAAATGTAACAAAGAGATTCAAACAGAACTCTTTCAGTAAATGTTTTAGTCTTGGTTTCTTGTTTTGCAAATCTGGTGGGAGTACTGATACATTTTAAGCCTTAAATGTAATTAGGTCACTATTTAGATAAAATACATCCTACATGTGATCCTTGTGTCCCTATTTTTTCAGGATTCTTCAAATAATCAGCAAGGAGAAGAAGCCAAACAAAAGTGAGTTGTGTTCATTTAATACTTACAACATTTTTTGTATTATTCATTTATGCACAAAAACATATTATGCTGAAAGTTATTTATAAACTTCTGTGTAAATTAGTTGTATAGAAGCTATTTTGACATAAAGTTATGAACACTATATATAATAACAGCTATTGTAGCGTCAGAAATAAGCAGGTGATCTAATGAATTTACATTTTCTCATTTAATCAATGCTGATTTATTTTTATTTAATTTTTTCTTTTTACAGAGAAACAGAAATGAGAAACTCGATATTGGCTCAAGTTCTAGACCAGTCTGCTCGTGCAAGATGTAGGTGCATTTTTAGATTTATGTCTATATTCATAATTTCACTGAGACTTTCATTTTGATTTGAACAATGTTCTCCTATGTTACTTTCTCAGTGAGCAATCTTGCGTTGGTGAAGCCAGAGAAGGCCAAAGCAGTGGAGAACTACCTTATTCAAATGGCTCGTTTTGGACAGTTAGGAGGGAAGGTAAAATAAAAGCAGTGTTTACTTAAAGAGACGTGYGCCACTGAGATTCTTTTATGTGAATGAACACACAATGTTCTTTGTGTTTAGATTACAGAGTCGGGATTGATYGAGATCCTAGAAAAAGTCAGTCAGCAAACAGAGAAGAAGACCACTGTCAAAGTAAGCTCCACTGAAATTACACTCATGATTGATTCACCTGCAGTCTCCTGTCCGTGTTTTATCTCTAACGCTGTGTGCCTGATTGTCAGTTCAACAGACTGAAGGTGATGGACTCAGATGAGGAGGACGATTTCTAAGTTTATACAAAAGTCCAGGAATGAGCCAAAAGTTCAGGAGTAGATATCCATTGTTGGGACGCTGACAGGATCTATGACTTGTGTCTTCTTGTCAAATTCCTGAGATGCCACACAACCTACGTTCGGAACGGCGGAACGGACACACCAAGACAAAAGAAAAAGGACATTTGGTTAATATTTTGGCATCTGGTTGGTGATAGAAAACACAGTGTTCAAACAGGTTTCTTTTCTTTTTTCTTGTTCTTTTTTTTTTTTTT